AGGATTTTAGATGCATCCCTTTCCACACATTTTCTCAGGCTCTTCTCTCAGTGTGTGGGCTCCTCTTGATTGCCACCTCTCCTCATCCATTTCGTGAGGTGTCTGGATACCTGGCTGAGATTCTGGATTCTATTGGGAAGATCAGTCCCCTGAGTCTGATACTACAGGAAAGCTTTTGATGGCATGTTTAAGAGCTGACTCATTAATAAGAACAACACAATTTGACCTTTTACCGACTGCTAATTTTTTGCTCTTATTCTCCCTGCCATATCTGTTTGGCTTTTGGTTGTTTTTTTTAGTTTTTTCCCTCCCTCTCCTGCAGGAAAGAAATATCAAGCTTGTTCTTGAGCCTTCAAATGAAGAAGAGGAAATATCAGATGGCCTGGCTGAGATATCCTTAGATGGGTTCCACTCTGACAGTGCCACAGGGGCAAAGGTGCACTTAGATGCTGATGGCAACCTGCATTGGCCTGTCCTCTTTCTGTACCCTGAGCACGAGCAGACAGATTTCACTGTGGCTTTTCATGAGAACTCCAGGTAAATGCACTGTCAGCAGAACTCTTGCATAAGGGAGGTGTTTGAGCAGATCAGAACAGACAGCAAGTGAAACACTGCCATGCTGATGAAGTTGTTCTGGATTTCTAATTGCAGAGCTGACCCTTTTGTTCAGCAGGAGGTTGCACTAGATGACCTCCTGAGGTCCTCTCCAACCTGAACTATTCTATGATTTATATAAATTTATAACCCAGACAAACACATTTTGCCAGGGTGATTAAAGGGGCTTGCAGTGCAAGCTTAGACCTATAATTAATTAGTGGCCAGTAATATCTGTGACCCATCCACACGTGTGGATTCTAGAGGTTCATTAAGGTGCTGTTTCAAAGCCCATCAAATATGGGATCTCAGAACAACAAATTAAAAATTATTAAAATCATTAAAAGCTCAAAAATCATTAAAAGCTTCCAAAAGGGACCTCTCATAACCACCAGTGACCCCACAGTTCTCCTTAGGGTTTTCAGCAGGCCTGTCTGAACTGCTGCAGACCTTTCAGACTATAAACAAGTGACTGGCAAGGTGGGAATTCTACTTTTCTTGATATTAATTTCCATTTCCGATCTTACAATGTTAAACAAACTTGGAATTTGTAACTTCTTTTTTTTTCTGGAATACATATTCCTCAGATCTCTTACTAAGTTTGGAACTTAAAATACAGTGCAAGCAGGTCAGTAAAATTATAGTACTTACATGATAGTGTTCACTATGCCTTTTCATGACCAAAGGAAGTGGAAATGGATTTTTAGAACAAATTGGCCTCCAACACTCCTCAAGTACCAAAATAAACAAGCCTCTGACACAGAAACAGATTCTCATCACTCTGATGGAACCAAGTAGAAGGGAAATCCATTTTAGACAAAATGCAAGGTGTTTATTTTGACATCTTTTTCAGTGTGAAAATGTAAAGTTAAAAATAATTTGTTGTTGCACTGCTCAAATTTGAAACCAATAGCCTGAGTCACAATATGGCCTTGGATTCATTGGGAAAGTGGTGAGTTTGAAGGGAAGAAACTGTTAGTGATCTAAACTTACTTTCAGGTCTGATGTCTAATTTGCTAATGTATTTTTACCATCATTCAAATGCAAGTGCACAAATGATTGAAGCTGAACAGTCTGTCTAAGCTCACCAAGTGTATTTTGGCTTTTAGGTTTATTGATCATTTAATGGTGATGTTTGCTGAGTTACCTCCTTGGGATTTAGAAAGAAAATACCTTCCCAGCAACCTTGAGGTGAAAAGTTTGATTTTCCTTCAATTTCAGGGTTGTTGTGTTGTGGGTTTGTTTGGGGTTTTTTTCTGGAGTGGGAAAATACACAGCTTTGAGGGTATGATTTGTTTACTTGTTTACCATTCACAGATGTGAAACAAAGATCTGGAGAGCTACATTCACTTATAAACACAAATATTTACCAGGTGTGCTGACAGAATTCACTAATGCAAATTAAAGTTCTTTTGTCTTCCGCTTACATTGTATTTGATAGAAGGTGTTTAGAGATGTTGCTAGATTCCATCTCTGTAATGATAATCAAGATTTAGACCATCAAGCTGATAGGCTGCCTGGTTTTTTAACTGCATTGTGGAGCTGCTGAATACAAATGAGAAAATATTATTTAAAAAATAGTTTATTTTCAGAACTAACTCGAGGTACCTAAGTATGTAATCGCATCAAGGTAATATATCTCTATTAACACTTTAGCAAAGGTAGGTTGTGAGTTGGTTGTGGCTGCAGTAGGTTTTGAGAATTTTTCTGAAATGGTTCATGGAAGGATACAGATGTTTATTATTCATTTTTCACTTCACTGTCATCTGTGCCAGGCAGCAGCACAACCCTTTGTACAGTGAGCAGACAGGCCCAAAAGGACAGTGACTGTGTACTTTTCCAGATTAAAATCCATGTGTATTTACAGTCTAAGATACCGTTGCTGGATTTGAATCTCTTAAATCGACTCTATTTTGTTCAAATACCTTTAAAACTATGTGATTTATTTCATAACATTGCTGCATTTCACCTGTTAGAAAGCAGCCCTTAGGTTTAGATTGCTTCTCTGTAAAGCACAGGAGCAGCCAGTGTATTTTGCCTTCCTGCTGCTAGTGCCAGAAGCTAAGCTGGTTTATACAGGAAAGACTTGGAATTTGCACAAATCAGTTTCTTCATCACTGAATTTAGCACCTGACACAGTGGGCTCAAGCTACAGAGGTTTGATAAACCTCCGGTTGATAATGGTGTGCTGTTACTAAACTGTTGAAAGCCCAGTACTTTCCCTCATGTACCTTAGGCATTTAATTATCCTCCAAAACCTTTTTCAGCTCTATTTTGAAGATGAAGAAAGAAATGAAATGTATGAGGTGAACCCAGAACACACATTACTACAAGTGCTGCAGCACGAAAGGTGAGGCTGTACCAGTCCATGTCCAAAGAAAAAAAGGCAAAAAGTGTGAACTTTGGGTTTTAAGTCCAGTTTGTTCTTTATTAGTTCTAAGTCTTCTCTGATTTGATAGTTCTTGGTCTTAAAGGTATAAAGCAGTAAGGCTGCATGGATTTTATGCCTGGCTTTAGTGACTTACATATGTTTTCGCCCCCAAAAAAATGAACAACTCTTTCCAGGTCTGGATGGAGATGGGAACGGGAGCTGGGCACAGATGAGTAGCACAAAAGGGGTGTTCCAGATCCCATCTACACAGTACTACTTAAAAAAAAAAAAAGGCAGCAGCCTATAAAGAGCATGTTGAAGGTTAACAATGCTCTCACTGTTCATAATGCTGTGTGAGCAGCCCCCGACACAGTGTGCAGCACTGTTCCCCAGTGAAACTGGCTTTAAAGTGTTGTGCAGTCACTGAGAGAGAAGAATTTGCTGTTTGTAAAGCCAAAAAGTTATTGTGGAGCCTGTGCTGTTGAGTTGCACCGTCTCGTAGCTGGAGGAAGCTGCCCCACGGTGCGGGCTGTCGCAGTGGGAGCGGGATCTCGGTCACTGCCACAGGCTCTGGCCAAGCTGTCACTCCATAAAATTCAGCAGCGTACACAAGCCCTCAGATTTCAGGCTGTAAGGGCAGTTGCAAGAGAAACCTCCTTCCAGAGGGAGAATAACAGCTGCTTTAATTAAAAGTAGCTGTTGGAAGAGGAGTTGACTCATAAAACACTCCTCCTCAGATGTGCTTAGCCCCAACTCCAAGAGGCTCTGCTAATCAGCACAAAAGCTCATCACTGGCCTTTGGGAGGGTCAGTCTTTATGGAGCAGGGTGGAAGTCACTCGCTTTGCAGGACACTTGGCCAGCTACAAGGAAGCAAAGGACTCCTTTTAATCTTTGCAGGTATTTTGTAAAGGCCGGGACTCCAACAGTTTTGGTATTTGCGAAGTGTTCTCCTTTCTCTAAGAAATACTTCTCTGGTAAGAAGGTGCATCGACTGTAATGAGCAAGAGTGAAACGAGGAATCCTGTGCAAGAGGTTGCTGTTCATTAGCCCAGCTACAGGCTGCAAACTTCTGCTTGAACAAAAATACCTTGCACACTTCAGGGAAGAGAAATAATCTCAGCACATGGGGAAACTTCCAGGAAAGCAGCATAGGAGAATAAAGGGCTTACATGAGGGGATTATTTGTTTAAAAAGAAACCCAGCTGGCTTGCAGAAGGTCTCCTCTATGATAGGCTGCATGTGGTTTTGAAATAAACCTGATGCAGTGCCAGACACTGGCTGTGGTTTCAGCAACAGCAGCTGGGAATGTAGTTCCTTACCTGTGAAGAATCACAGATCTCCTCGGAGGTGGGCTGTAGTTGCTGGGGTTTAACAGCAGTGGGCTAGGGCAATACCTGCCTGTTGCAGCGGGGTGGATGCAATCAAGTCCCTGCCTGGGATCCAGCAGCTGCTGTTTTGTCACTGCTTGGCTCTCCTGCTGGCCAAGGTACAGCAGAGTTCCTGATTTGGAGCGGTGTTTTATTGACCCTTTTGCTACTGTACTGATTGTCCTACAGAACCTGGAATAAACATGGCTATTTTAACTAGATTGACTTTTGCCTAATGAATGAGATAATATTTTTTCTCACCTCATGAAATACTGGAAGAGAATGGCAAACAGTAATTGTAAACACCAAGGTAACAGCCTTATCCATTACACTAACTGATACAGCCAACATACAGGGCTTGTGTATTAGCTTTCAGCTTTTAATTAAAAGTAATTCTAAATCTCTCATTTCTTTCTCTTCTGCAGTCTCTCTGTGACTGCAGAAATACACTGCAGCTTTAGACACAGCTAATGCAGAGGGCATTAGAAAGCTGTTCAGCCATAAACACTCCTGCTTAGATCATAGAGGCTGCCTTCAGACAGATTCAGAGAAAGCATTTTCATTTCACTATTCCTGAATTTCTGCACCATGCACAAATACAGTAAGAGTATCTCCACCTGAGGATGCTGCAATTTAATCTCCAAACCTCAGGGTTACTACACAGCAAGGCAGCAGGATGGCTCCCTTTTCACAGTATGTTGGTTCTGGCCAGGCAGCCATCGATCGCCTCGCAGTGTCCTGCCCTCACAGGGCAGAGAGTTTGACAGCGAGGTGGTACAGGCTCAGGCCATTGCACACAACGCAGCAGAGGTTGCAGAGGGAGGACAGAGCATGGTAGAGGGCGAACTGCCGACACAGCCGCCTGTAGCTGGGGTTGGAGGCTCGCAGGTTTCTGCGGGACTCGCTGGCCACCAGCCCGACCTCCTGCCCGAGGCCGTGGCTGCGCTCCACGAGGTGCAGGTCTGCCACAATGTCGGAGGTGACGTGCCCGAACCACTGTGTGTTCAGCACAGAAGCAGCGATGCAAATGAAGAAGAGGATGATCTGCGGGGGAGCAAAGCCCACCGTGAACATCCCGCACGTGTTGTGGGTTAAATTTCTCCCCCAGCCCCTCTCGCACACAAGGCTTGCTGCAATCTGGGTGCTAACTGGCTTCTTTAACCAGAGCCACATGTGGAGCTCACATCGTGTGCAAACCAGCCTCAGTGGAGCAGAGCAGGGCGGGACCCTGCAGAGGAAGGGGTTTGAGCTCAGCCAGCTCGTGTTTGAGAGGGGGAGGCAGCTACCTGGGTCGTGTGTTCCTCGCTGAGCCGCTTGCTGGGGTGGCACATGGCAAACAGAGTCAGGTTGAGGAAGGCACAAGTGGAGCTGATGTGGAAGTAGTAGGGGAAGAGCTCACGCTGGATGGAGCCGAAGGTGTGGCGAGGGAGGTGTCTGCTCATCACAAACCCTACAAGGGGGGAGAGCTGGTAGGTCCTGGGGCAAAGCCCCCTCCCCTGGGCCTCCCACCTGGGCAGAGAGCCACAGCAGTGCACACAGACCCCAACCTACCGGCCACGAAGGTCACCCAGATCTGCATTCCCCAGGAGGTGGAGAGGAAAAGCAGGTGCAGCAGTTTGATGGTGTTGGAGGGCTCCATGTCGGTCGGCATGGTGTCCTGGATGGGGACAGGTCCCTCCATGTCAGCCAAGACACCTCCAAATTCAGTGCTGAGCTGCAGTTACTGCTCTAACCTTACTGGACGCAGGGCAAATGCAGTTCAGGTTCACAAACCCGCTTACTCAGGAATAGCTTTGGAGCTGGCACAGCCCTTCCCAGCTCCCCCACCACACACCCAAAAGGGCTGCAAACCCAGAGCTCAAACGCCTCGTATGTTAGGGGCAGGGCCCTGCGTCAGCACCTGGGAACCGGCTGGTTTGGGTGGACTTTTGGCAAAGTCCAGCCAACGCCCCAGCTGACCCCTGGCAGCAGGAACAAGCAGAAAGTCAATAAAAAGGGGAAGAGAAAAGCCCTGACAAATATGCCTGCCCATGCTGTGAGCATCAAAGAGGCCCTTTGGTCAGGGGGAAGCCCCCCCTGCTTAAAAGCGGCAACAGCTTCTGCACTTTTTAACCAAAAAAGCCTGGGGGCTTGAAGGAGCAGGGACGCTCCCAGGTGCACCCCACTGCCCCAGACCCCGCGCTGGCACAGCACGAGAGCACAGGCAGCAGCGGGTGGAGGGAGGCTTTGAAGGAGCTGCCTGATCCACTACAAGGAGCACTTTGGAAATTAATTAAAACAAAGCTGCTAGGAGTAGCCCATCAATACTGCTGCCTGCAGAATTCTCTCTCCTCCCCTCGTCTGATCACCTCGGGGCATGAATTACAGCGGGGATGGCCTTAAAAGAGACGCTGCCTTCTAATTCCATCCCACTCCCCCTGCAAAATGGATAAATATACACTGTATTATGATATATTAATTCCATGTATTTATTTAGGCATCTAAAAAATCAGGTCCTTAAACCTTCTCATGATGGCAGCATACTGGAGAAGGCACTTCAATGCCACCTGGAGTGCTGGCCTGTAAATTCCCATCTGTCTTCATGGTCTTTTCTTTTCCAAAAGCTTCTTGGAATTTTTGGGATGCTTTCCTGCTCCATCCTTCAGCAGCCCTGTCCACTGCAGGGGCCCAGGGAAGGCAGTCTGGTGAGGCTTTTTTCATTGCATCATCCTGGACAGGAAGGCAGTGATGGGCGCTGCATTGGGCAGCTGCCATGGAGCCCTGATGCTCCCGAGGTCCCAGGTCTGCCTCCCCAAATCATTTGTCTCCATGCAGGAATTAGCAGCTGAGGGCACCAAAGCAGCTGGGTGTTTTTGTGCAAAGAAGCCACATCTGGGAAGGTTGTTCAGAGCAGGGGAGTAACTCCCCTTTTTTTAAGCGAATAAAAAAAAATGGTGATTGATTGCTGATTTGGTCCTGGAGTGGTGGATTTGGTGGGGAGGGCTCTGGGAACGGCTGGTAAGGGCAGGTTGCTCTGAATGCACCCACCAGCAGGTCTCTCCTCCCTTGGGAACTGGCTGTGGGATTAGGCAGTGGAGCTGGGTGCTCCAGGGATGCTCCAAGCCACACAGTCCTGCTGTCCATGCTCCCCTATGCCTGAGGGCCAGCAGGTGCTGCAGGACTGCAATTTTTTTCCAAATGTACATAAACCATGAGACATTTCACACCATTGTAGTGCTCTGTCACACCCTCAGGTCGCTCCTGCTCTATCACCCTGCATCCCCAGGGACCCAGCCAGGCCAGAGCCAGGGCTGACCATGGCCTCGCAGAGGTAAAAAGCACAATACTTAAGGAGAAGGAGAGGTCAGCTAAAGTTTAATGTTCAGGCAAATGCATCATCCCCTCCGCTTAATCAAGCAGCAGCAATTCCTAACGGTAAGTAGAAAGGATGTCTCAGGTCCTGGTGATAAAAAGGCAGGATCGCTCTGAGTTTTGGGAGATAAGAGGGCTCTATAAAAATTGAATGTTCTGTACTATGATCAGCCTGAGATGGCTTTATCTTGTGGAGGTTGGGGCAGAGCCATGCCAGGCCTTGAGCTGAGATGTTTATGATGGGAAATACGAGAGAGATTAGGGGTTTATGGCCACAGCCAGCCCAGGGTTAGGAGCCACTGGCCAGTGGCCACAAGAGAGGCAGGAGCTCCTGCTTATAAACTAGGTGGGGAATTTGGGTGGCAAAGCGCCTTTTTAAGGACTGGATGCTGCAGAAAGGAAAAACACCCAGGGATGCCTGGAAAAGACCCTGTGCATGTTTTTGGTACCCCATGGCCTCATCTTACCCTGAGCGCAGCATCATCATCACTTGCTCATGGTTAAGCTCTGCAAAACCCATCCTTGGGTTTAAGTTCATGGGGCTCTGGAAGCAAAGTTCTATATGCCCAAGGGCTCCTGGGGCTTGTCCCCCTCCCAGCAGGCAGCAAGCTCTTCAGAACATCAGTTCCATCAGAAAACCTCTGGCTGTGTGACCCAGGAAGGCCTGGGAAGGGGCTCTCCACAGGGCTGTGGCTGAGGGCAGATGTCCCCTGGGCTGTGACTGATGAGTAGCACTTCCACATCCCTGCTGCATTCCAGTGGCTTTCTCAGAGCATCTCAGACTTTGGGAAACAAAGTTTGGCTTTGTCTGTTTTTTTGCTTTTTCAGTGCCCCTGAGGCAGTTTGGGGGTTACATCTAAAGGTGTTGGTGCACCCAGCAGACAGGGATAAAGGGGCAGCTCCACAGCTCTGCCCCAGGCATGGTAGCAATGCCTCCGGGCAGTACCCAAAAACCACTCTCATGGAGCACCGGCTGACACCCCATTCCTACAGCATGAAGTCCTGCCTCAAAGGATCCCCCTCATCCACCTGAGCCCCAGGCAGCAGCTGTTGGGGCACTGTCCCTCTCCTCGCCCAGGGAAATGGCACCTGCCTGGGGCGTGCTGTGGGTGGACAATCCCTGCTCCATTCTTGCCATCCAGGCAGCGAAACAGCAAATCCCCACAGCAGACACTCACCCAGAGCACATACGGATATTTTTCCTTTCAATGCACTTTTATTGCTATTCCTTCCACAGCCCCATGGGGTAGGATTTCAGCCTGGCAGGAGCATGGGCTGTTTGTCAGCCCTGCCTGGGAAGAGAAGCAGCACTTGGGAGAGCAGGATGCACTGCCAGCCACCCCTGCACTGGGGAGGGGTAGAGCACTCTCTCCATATCACTGCCCCCTCTCTTCCTTTACTACCTCAAAGGGAACCAGTAATCCCCCACAAAGAACCAGTAAAAAAAAAAATCTGGTTTAGTGAGATTTTGGATCATATAAAGATTCAAGTAGCGTTAAGTAAACAAGAAAACCAAGTCCTGTACATCAGCTTATAAAATTTCTAAATAAAATTAAAAAAAAAAGAAAGAAGAAAAGATATGACACGTCAGTGCAAAGGGATGAGGTGGTACAGTAATGCCCCTCCACCCCAAGCCCCAGGGAGGCAGGGTCTGGGTGCCACCATCCACATCCCCTTCCACCATGGAGGTGCCCCTTCATCTGTGTCATCTGTCAGCAGGGTGCTGTGGCTCTAGAAGTCCCGCAGCCGTGAGATCAGGTCCTCTTTGTTCTTCAGCAGGAACTTCTCGCAGGCTTCAAAGGTGGCACAGATGTCAGAGGACAGTCCTGCCACGTTGGTGGTGACATAGTTGAGGTACCCTGGCATAGCCTGGTTGTAGTAAGCCACCTGCGAGGCACAGGAGATGGTCAGTAGGGGCACGTGTGAAAGAAGGAGCCTCCCCAACAGGGTGTGGGCAGCATGGCCCCACAGCATGGTCACAGCATCCCACCTTGCTCATCTCCTCTGACTCCGGCCAAATGCAGAAACCAGAGCAGAGCGTCTCCCCACGTGTGTATTCAGCTCGGGGGGGGTGGGTGGGCAGTGTCACCGATCGAAAGGCCACCACATAGGGGTCCCTGGGAAGGAGAGAGGCCAGGTGAGCTGGCACAGCCCAGCTGGCAGGAAGCAGGGAGTCGGGCTAGGGACAGTTACCCCTTGCTGCAGGGTTTCCGCCGGGATGCCAGGATGACAAAGTCCTGCAGCTTGCTCTCCTGTCTGTGCATCCGGCTCACCACGTGGTAGATCATGTCATCGTCATCTACCTTCTGGACAAGCTCAGCACTCCTGCAAGGGGAGGCAACCGGTCACAGAAACCCCACTGTGCCCCCCAAATCTGGGGGCTTACAGATTTACAGCCCACCACCAGATCCAAAATATTTGGGGGGACCCAAAATAAATGTTTTCTGCAGCCATTAGCCCAGGTAGAGTCAGGATGGAGACATGCAGTGGAGGGTCTCTAGGAGCAATCATGGCTCCAGGGCAACGCACTTGCTCCCAGGAAAGCCCAAACGGATGCTCAACCACAAGCCCTAAATTTAGGGGTGTGATTTTTGGGAAGGGCTGGGTGCCCAGGAGCCCTACAGCACTCACGCATAGTGACTGTCCCACTCGTGCCGGCGCCGCAGGTTGGAGAGCAGGGAGAAGGCTTGTCTGGCCATGATGCAGACGGACATCTCGATGCGGAAGGACAGGAATTTATCCTCCTCCAGCGTGTACATCCTCACCTTGGGGAGCACAGGGCACAGTTGGGATGTGTTCCCCATCATTAAGCCCCCAGGTTGCCCATGCTTTGGGGGCAAGGGGCAGCTCAGGGGGAAGGGGCAGGGTTTAGTACCTTTTCCTTTTCTCTGGCGAGTGCCCAGTTTGTTTTGGCTACGAGTGTCTTCAGCGCAGAGACGTTGTTGTAGCTCAGATAAACCTGGGGCAAGGGCAGCATGTCAGGGGCAAGAGCAGGGGCAGGAGGTTGGGCAGGAGGCAGAGGCTCCTGCAGGGAAGCATCCTACCTTGTTGCTTTGATCCCAGGGCACAGAGAGTGGTACCTCGGTCTGTTTGCAGGAGACGACGTATTTTCTGCGGGAAAGGAACAGTTTCCCTTATGAGGGGACACAAAGAACCCACAGACTGTCCCTGCACCCAAGTGCCAAGCCCCTCTCTCCTCCCTCCTCCATGCCCACATCCCACTTGCTTTTCTGCTCACCGGTCCAGCCGAATTTTTTTCCTAGCACTGGCTTCTCTGTACCTCCTTTCTCCATCCTGATAAATGGGAAAAGCCAATTAGGTTAATAGGAAAAGGAGGAAAAAACTCAA